CCAGCCCCCCCAGGGCCCCCAGCCCCCCCAGCCCCCCCAGCCCGCCCCCCAGCGCCGCCCGCCCCCCGCCCGCCCCCGCCTCCCACGCCAGCTCGCGCCCCGACTTCTTGCGCAGCCTCCGCAGCCGCCGGCGCCACGAGAGCGGCGAGCCCAGCAGCCGCCGCAGCACCCCCAGCCCCGCCGGCAGCGCCGCCGCCGCCGCCTCCGCCGGCTCCTCTTCCTCCCTCTCCTCCTCCTCCTCCTCCTCCTCGTCGCGCGGCGCCTCCTCCTCGGAGATGCGCGAGGCGATCTGCATCTCGAAGATGGTGTCCTCGCAGAAGTTGACGAAGAGCTCCATCTTCTCGGCCTCGCCGCCCTCGTTGACCACGTCGAAGATGAACTGCCGCTTGGACTCCTTCACCTGCGGCATCTCCCACTGCGCCTTGTTGGCGCCGCTGATCTCGAAGTAGATGCGCTCGATGCGCCGCGCCGCCCCCATGATCTCGATGCGGCCCAGGAAGGGCCGGAAATAATCCAGGATGCTCTCGGCCTGCTCCAGGAAGGTCTTGAGGCGCTGGTCGTGCGGCACGTGCTCCGACAGGTTGGTCAGCAGCACGGCCACGTTGAAGCCGATGTCGCGCGCCGGCTCCTGGAAGCGCTGGGCGAAGCTCTCCACGTCGATCATCTCGTTCTCGTCGGCCTCGGAGCAGGAGAGCAGGAACTGGATCTCCTCGGGCTCGTACTGCTTCTGGCTGTCCATGGCCTTCTGGAAATCCTTCTTGGAGATGAGGCCGCGCGGGTCGGTGACGAAGTGGCGGAAGGCGTCGGAGGAGACGATGTCGCGCAGCTTGAGGAACATGTCGAAGAACTTGAGGATCATGGTGACGTTGCTGGAGGACTCCACCAGCATGTCCACCATCTGCCGCGCGATCGTGCCGTTCACCACGTTCCCTGCGGGGCCACGGCCGCGTCACCGGAGAGCGCCCAGAGCACGGAGCCGCGGGGACACAGGGGACACAGGGAGGGGACAGCCAGGTGAGGACAGGGGACACCAGGTGGGGACAGGG